GCTCTATGTGTTTGCTTGCTCTGTGAGCACGAGGTTCTATTGAGTTCGCTACTGCTCCATTGTTATCACAGTACATGGTGATACCACGTGGCAAACTTTGTATAACCTCTAAGTCCACTAAGAAGTTCCTAAGCCAAACTGCCTCTTTCACTGCCTCTCAGGCTACTATGTACTCGACTTCCATGGTGGAGTCTGCCACGCATTTGTGCTTAGCACTCCTCCATGAAGTGGCTCCACTTCCCAAGGTAAACATAGAGGTTGACTTACTTTCATCCCTATCTGACTGAAAATCGGAATCACTGTACCCTAGAGGTAACAAGTTGTTTGCACAGTAAACTAACATGTACTCCTTAGTCCTTCTCAACTACTTGAGTATATGCTTCACCGCAGACCAATGTTCCCATCCCGGATTACTTTGATATCTAGCTACTATTTCAACGACGTAGCTAATATCCGGCCTAGTACACAGCGTCGCATACATAAGACTTTCTACTGCTGAAGCATAAGGAACTGTCTTCATGTCCTCTATCTCCTCAGACGTCTTAGCAGAAATCTCCTTAGATAGAGGTATTACATGTCTGAAAGGTAACACACCTTTCTTGGAATCCTGCATGTTGAATCTGGCCAAGACAATATCTATGTATGAAGATTGGGATAAGCACAACATTCTCTTCTTACGGTCTCGAATGAGCCTAATACCAAGAATGTGTCATGCTTCACCTAAGTCCTTCAAATCAAACTGCTTAGACAATCACACCTTTACGTCTGATAACTCCTTCTTACTGTTTATAATAAGAAGCATGTCATCTATGTAAAGCACAAGAAACACCACCAAGCTCCCACTGATTTTTTTTGTATACGCAGTGCTCATCCGGACATTGAGTGAACCTGCATGACTGGATCACCTTGTCAAAACGGATGTTTCAAGATCTCGAAGCTTGCTTCCGTCCATAAATAGACCGATTAAGCCTACACACTAGATGCTCACGACCTTCAGTAATGAATCCCTCTGGTTGCTGCATTAGATGTCTTCTAGAAGGTTCCCGTTAAGGAAATCCGACTTGACATCCATCTGCCAAACCTCATAATCCATATGGGTGGCTACAGCCAAGAGAATCCGAATGGACTTAAGCATATCTACTGGAAAAAAGGTCTAGTCATGATCAATAACCTCGATCTGGGTATAACCTTTCGCAACAAGCCTAGCTTTGAAGGTTTGCACCTTTCCATCCGATCCTCTCTTTCTCTTATAGATCCACTTACATCTAATGGGTCGTACCCCATCAGGTGGTTCTATAAGATCCCAGACCTAATTAGAGTCCATTGACCCCATTTCAACTTTCATTGCAACATTCCATGAATCTGCATCTTTATCTTGGAGTGCTTCATCGTAAGTTCTTGGGTCCGATTCTAGATCTTATGGAATTGAGTCTGATGAATCTCCAAGACCTAACCATCGGTCGGGTAAATGAGGAACCCTCCCACTGCGACGAGACACTGTCTGCACTGGTACACTTCCAGTGTGCCGTGTTGCAGTATTATGTGATGTATCGACTTGTGCACTTGGTGGAGAACCGTCAACTTCACCCCTTAACTCCTCTAACTCTAATCTACTTGCGGGCTTATGATTCATAATATTGTCTTCTTCCAAGAATCTAGCGTTTGTCGAAACGATCACCTTCTGTGTAGCGCCCCGTTCGATTTATAGGATTTCCCGGATTATTTTATTTATTGAATATTATTTGTAAGGTTATATTTATTTTTATTTGGTCGCGATGTCGACTTAAATAAAATGTTGGAGTACTTGACCGTTTTATTGAAAAACGTTCGTCGTTCGGCGATTTCGGTTTAATCGCGTAATTCGAATCTAAGCCGTTCGTTTATTGGATTTTTGAATATTTTGGGTATTATTATTAATATTAATATTAATATTATTATTATTATTATTATTATTATTATTATTATTATTATTATTATTATTATTATTGATGTCAATTGCCCAATTATATAATGCTTATTAATATTAAATAAATATTATATATATTGCCAGATTTATTTATTTAATTTTCTGGAGGTCGCGTATTATTTTTTCGAGTGATATATATACATAATATCGGAATATATAAATCAAGCCCGATAAACCGGTNAGAAAGAGAAGCAGTCACAGCCCTCATCCTTCACGAGCAAGCTGCAACCAGTGACTTCCCAACGATCCCCTCCGGCGCGCAAGCTGCCGAGCCCAACCCCACGCACGCCGAGTTCCGTCCAGCTCCTTTCCCCGGCCCGTTTCAGCCTATTTCCATTCGTTTTTCGAGTGGTTCTTCGGTGAACGGTAAAAGATGGCTTGAACCCTATTTTATTTCGGATGATATGCGATTATATGGGAGTCGTCTTATGATTTTATGTGTTGTTGTGTGGCTGCCTCGTTTGTTTGTAAGTTAGGCTTTTGGTTCTAATTTGTATGATATATATTCGTGGTCTTCGATGAGATGTGTTGCTATGGTTATCGTGTTTCGTGATGAGGAGGATGACGTTAAGTGTGGTTTTGTCGAAAGCATGAATTTAATATATATGTGATGTTAATCCTGAATTGTACTGTCTCTGTCGAGCCTCTTAAAAGGCATGAAACACTCGTTTTCTGAAATTATGTTTTTCATATGACTTTAAGTTCAGTCTGTTTTGGTTCTGTGAGTTTTGGAATTTCGAAAATCCGACTTGAAATGAGAGAGTTATGATTTTTACGAATTTGTCGCACAAGCAGTTTTTAACAAATCCCGGCAGCATGTGTGTGTTGATTGTTATGTCTATTTATTGCATTTTAATGTGCTCAAATAAAACTATGATATTCATGAAAGTTATAGGTCTCTTTCTAAGCTTTCTGATGAGGTACAAGTCATGTTGATATGATGAATGTAGCTTGGTTTGTGTTAGATAGAAGTAGGATAAGCATCTAATGAGTTATACTTTTGGACAGCAAGGTGGTTCTAAATGTTAATTGATTTTACCCCTCTTTAATAACCTTATCTGCTTTAGCATTCTAAATAAAAGTTGTAGAACTATCTCTTAGGTTTCTAACATGATAAGAAGCATGTAAATATGATAAGTGTAGCATGAGATGTGATTTTTGCATAAATGTTATGCCAGCAGTTTTTGAAAATTCGGGCTGAGTATATAATATTGATGTTTGGTCTGCAAGTGATGTTCTAACATGCTCAAATGTGAACGTGGTCTTCATAAAAATTGCTTATATGATTCTTGTATATCCATTGGTTTTAAAATCTGATCAATTGGAGGTCTATAGCATGATTTAGACTATAAACACTGAAGTGCTGTTTGTAATCTGAATCAAGTCCCGACAGATTTTACGACCCAAATGTTTTATGTTTAAAACTGTTGATAATGCCATTATTTGCCAATGTGGTCTTCAGGAAAGTTATTTGCTTTTAAGTTAGCTACACTTTGATTTTTGAATTTCCTTGATATCATGTCTGTAGCTCCATTTATATTGAATTTACCGAGGTTCTGTCCATTATATGTTTTCAGATTTTTCATAGCATCCCTGTTTCATATGTTTGATATTCTAAGGCCTGCTAAATGCCATTATTTGCTTCTGATGTCTTCATAATAATTTTAGATACATGTCTTAGGATTTATATGCAACTGGTTTCGTGTCAATATGAATTTTGTGTTGCATTTGGTGTCGATTTCAAAATCACTGCGCGGATTATGTTTTCAACGTTATGCGTTGTTTTCGATTAGAAATGGAGCCCTTTACCGCAGCTTAATTGATTTACCAACAACTTAGAAATGGAGGCCTTAGGAATTTTACAATTAACTTTAATTTAAAATCTCTTCTCAAACATAGTATAATTTAATGAGGATTTTTAACTATTTATGCAATTCCAAATTAATCTATGTAAATGTAATAATTAATTAACATGCATAATAATTCATGCAATTCTAAATTAACCACATTCTCTCACATGGGAGCAAAAATTCTCTCACATGGGAGTATGAAATTCCTTCGGTGAAGGACCAGTGATTTCAATCAGAAGTTATTTGTACCAGTTAGATTATCCAGAGTGAGTAAGGTTTCGTTTTCTTTGTCAAAGATCGATTGGTTAGATTGCTAGGGTTCGGAATTTCTCATATGGGGGAAACATCTATGGGGAAGGCTAAAGGAGGGGATATGGCGGAAGGGCTTATGAGGAAATTGCAAGCAATATCCTTATCGGCTAAGGAAGCAGGGGAGATTGAAATTCGTAATGAGGATATTAAGGCTAGTGAAGAGGAATGCAACATGAGCTTATTCGGAAAAGTAGTTGGTGACCGGAGGGCTGGTATTCTTGGAATTAAACGCACACTGGGATATATTTGGAAGCTGCAAACGCCAATGGAGGTCAAAGAGGTTAGCTCCAATTTCTTCCAATTTATTTTCAACTCATTAGAGGATAAGAAGAAGGTAGCGGCTGGCCATAACTGGCTCTATGAAAATCAATATCTTATCCTTAAGGAGTGGTTTCCGGGGTTGAATAGTAAGCACAAATGCTTCGAGGAGATAAATATTTGGGTGCAAGTCAGTAATGTTCCCCTAAATTGGATGAGTATAGATGTGGGTCTTAAGATTGACCAAATTTTTAATGCGGTGAAGAATGTTGTGATCTGCAAAGCTGGAGGGGAAGTTGGAAGTTTCATTAAACTATTGGTAGCGTTGAATCTAAATGAACCCATACCTAGGTGCACATCAGTTAAGCTCGGAGAACAAAAGGTGTTATTAGCATTCAGATATGAACGGTTAGTGAATTTATGTTACTATTGTGGTATGATTGGTCACTTGGACCGAGGCTGTGAAACGAAAATCAAAGATATTGAAAATCGAACGGTGGTTGAGGGACAATTTGGTGAGTGGCTGAAAGCAACAGAAACTGTACCTGGAGGAAGGAGTACTTATTCTGGCACTTCAGAAAGGAATGAGACACCACCAAAACATAACTCTAACCAGGGCTCATGGGAACCTGCCACTGTAAACCCAGATCTTGTTCAAACAGAGGAGGCAAGAATTGGTGGTAGTTCATCCAAACAACAGCAGGTGGGTGAACATCAACATCTCCATAACCCTGAAGGACATGACATACCAAATCTTGCAATTGTCTGTAGAGATGAGGAGGGAAAGGATTTGGAGGAGACTCACTACATTGAGGCTATCACAATGGAGACTGATGTAGTAGGAGAGCTTGGTGAGGCCAGTAACCATGGAAAACAACAAGTAAATGAAGTGCCAATGCTCAGGGCCAAACCAGGGTCATCATGGAAAAGAAGAACATCTGCTGATGGCAGGTTGCTGAGAGTGGAAGAGGTGTAGATGGAGGTTCTTAATACTGTTGGTAGTAAGAGGAACAGAGATTTAATAATGTATGAAGAGAACTCAGATCCAATTGAGGAAGCTCTTAAAGAGTCCAATAAGAAAATTAACCATGGAAAAATGAAGGTGGAGAAGGCCAGCCTTGAATGGCCCCAAGTTGACCAATGAAGGCCATGGTGTGGAATTGTAGAGGGCTGGGTGGGCCCTCTACAGTTTCCCAAATCAAGGACTCTAGAAAAATCCACCACCCAGAGGTAATTTTCCTTTCTGAAACATAAAAATCTAGGGCTTTTACTAAGACAGTGTGTAAAAAATTGGGGTTCAAGGGGAGATGGTATCTAGAAGATCTTGTTGGTACTAGAGGGCGGTTGTTAGTAATGTGAGACTCTGAGGTAGAAGTGAAGGTGGTTGTGGGGAATGAGTTCTGTATTCAAATGGAATTAAGAGGCAAAGGCATGGTTGAATGGTGCTGGATGATCTTTGTCTACATAAGCACTGATAAGAGAACCATATTTAGGCAGTGGGAATATCTTGAATCTTGTAAGAGTCAGTGGGGACCATGTTGGGTGATTGCTGGAGATGAATCTTGTAAGAGTCAGTGGGGACCATGTTGGGTGATATCTCTAGTAACTATGAGAAGAGAGGTGGAATCCCTAGAAGTGCTGCAAGCTTTATACCATTCAATCAATTCATATTTAGGATGGAGATGTGTGAGATGGATCAAAAAGGCTCTTTCTTTACATGGGGTAATAATAGGTCCAGTGGTGACTATATTGAGGAAAGGTTTGACAAAGTGTTTGTCTCTTTTGAGTGGATGGCCAGATTTCCAAATATGGAGGTGTCAAACTTCTTCAAGACTGCATCTGATCACAATGTCATAATGTTTGACACTGAGAAAGATTCACTCAGGCACCACAGAAGGTTTCAGTTCAATAGTCACTGGCTTAAACTGGAGGGGATTCAAGAAGCTGTGGAAGTAGGTTGGCAGGGAATGGTAGAGGGTACTACTATGTACCAGGTGCATCAAAAAGTGAAGAATACCAGAATGGCTTTGCTAGCATGGCACAAACCAATTCATAGAAACAGTGCTGCTACAATCAAAGCTTTAACCACTAAAATGGGGGATATGAGAATGGAGGGCCCTGACAGAAATTGGAGAGAATGGGGTGCAATGAAGGCTGAGTTGGATAGTGCCCACCAAGAAGAGGAGAATTACTGGAGGTTGAAATCTAGAGCTTTGTGGTTGAAATCTGGTGACAGAAATACTCGGTACTTCCATGCTCACACTGCCCAAAGGAGGAAAAGAAACATTATCTCTAAGCTGAAAACCAGTTCTGGCCAAATCTGTGGCAATCAACATTCAATGGCAGCTCACATTACTGGATTCTATTCTAATCTACTCACCTCTGATGGATCCAGAGGTGGTGCTGAACTGTTGCAACAAATTCCTTGTTCTATATCTGATGGCATGAACAATGATCTCATCAAACCGGTGGAGGAAGAAGAAGTTAAAGCTGCCCTGTTTGCAATGTCCTCTGAGAAAGCTCCTGGGGATGATGGTATGTTTTCCAGCACTTTTAGCACATTTTGAAGTTTGATATTTGTAGAGCTATCAAAAGCTTTTTCATCACTGGTCATCTTCTGAAAAATTGGAAGCATACCATAATTACTCTGATTCCAAAGTGTCTTTATCCTGAGAATCTGACCAATTACAGACCAATTAGCCTGTGTGAAGTTCTCTATAAAATTGTGGCAAAGATGTTGGCTGAGAGGTTAAAACCTTGCTTAGATTCATGTATTAGTCAAGCTCAAACTGCATTTGTGCCTGGGAGACATTTGATTGATAATGTTGTGATAGCAGATGAGGTCTTCCATTTCTTGCATAGACACAGGTCTGGTTCAAATGTTTTTATGGCTGTGAAATTAGACATGGAAAAAGCTTATGATAGGGTGGAATGGGCGAGTATCAAAAAGACTATGTTGAAGATGGGGTTTCATGTTAAATTTGTGCAGTGGATTTACAGTTGCATTGCTAATCCTACTTTCTCTTTCAATCTTAATGGCTCAGTGTGTGGATTTGTCACTTTCTCTAGGGGTATTAGACAGGGCGATCCACTATCACCCTATCTATTTATCCTGGTTTCTGAATTGCTTTCTTGTTATCTGCACCACAAAATAAATGTTGGCCAGTTCAGGGGGTGAGGATATCTCAAAATGGTCCTATGTTATCTCACTTGCTATTTGCTGATGATGCCTTAATCTTCTGTAAGGCTGATGAGGAGCACAGTATCCTGTTGCTGGAAATCTTGAAAAAATACCAGGAATTTACTGGCCAGAAAGTGAATCTGCACAAATCTTCTATGTTTTTGAGTAAGAATTGCTCTGATGGGTTGAAGCATAGGATTTGCTCTTTGCTGCAGGGGGTGGTTGTGAAACGGTCTTCCAGATATCTGGGGTTATCTTTAGGGATTGGGGCCTCTAAGATTGAAACCTTTCAATTTGTGGTTGAGGCTGTTAGAGATAGAATTGGTAGTTGGAAGAATAACTTCCTTTCTTCTGCTAGAAGGGAGATTCTTATCAAAGCAGTGTTAAATGCTCTTCCTGTTTTTGTGATGTCTTGTTTTCTATTACCTGTGAATGTGTGTAAGGAGGTGTGTAGGTTACTTGCAAAGTTTTGGTGGGACAAGGGAAATAACCAATCCAGAAGTATGCACTGGCTAGCCTGGGATAAGATGACTTTGCCTAAATGTGAGGGTGGGCTGGGTTTCCAGAATATCAAGCTTTTTAATAGAGCACTAATTTTGAAGCAACTGTTGAGGATCTTTGAGCAACCAGAGTTACTTATGAGCAAAGTTTTGAAATGTAAGTACTTCCCTAACTGTTCTATGTTTGATTGCCAAAAGACTGGTGGTGCTTCCTGGTTGTGGAAATCCTGGAGTACTTTGCTGCCTGTATTGAAAAGACAGGTAAATATTATCATCAGAAATGGTGCCAATACTTCAATTTCTGAATGCTTTTGGGTGTCTGGGTTAAATGGAAGTGCTCCCAAGCTGACAGCAAATATAAATGGTAGTGCATTCTGGGTGAAAGATTTGCTTATAGCTGGTGGTGTTCAGTGGGATTCAATCCTGATAAGAGCCATTTTTTCAGAGGTACATGCTTCCTTGATTATGCAGATAAAATCTCTGAATCCTCAAAAGGCAGACCAGTGGAACCGTTCATTTCTGGGGAAGGGAAAATTTTCTGTGAAAAAAGCTTACAGTTGGCTGCTAGAAAAAGAACCAGATCTGAGGAATGAGGCAGAATGCAGTAGGCTGGCTAGTGGAAACAAGAGAGCTACACAGAGGTGTTGGTCTCTGAAAGTGATGGGAAAGGTGAAGCACTTCATCTGGAAGTGTTTCACTAATATCTTACCTGTCAGCACCAATTTGGAAAAGAGAGGGATGGAAGTTGACACTGTTTGCAGAATCTGTGGGGAAGGGAAGGAGACTCAAGAGCATGTGTTATTTCTGTATAGGAGAGCAAAACTGATTTGGGATCTTGCCCCAGTGGAATGGAACAGAGTGCAGCAGGATAATATGAGTTTCAAAGAATGGTGGTGGTGGATCTGTACAATGAATTTCAAAGACATTTCTGAAGAAAGGATCAAATTGTCTACCTACATATTGTGGTGGCTTTGGAGGGCAAGAAACCTTTGGGTGTTTGAAAGGCAATGGCAACATGAAAGGTGGATCTTAGAGGCAGCAATGAGGGACTGGCAAGACTATAATGCAGCAGGCTGAAGTTAACTTGAAGTGCAGTAGAGGGTTTTTGCATTAGGCTAGGTCTAGAGTCAGTGGTCTATTTGTTTGATCCCTTTGTTGTATAACTCATTTTTATTGCTGTTTGGATGATGTGTACTAGTTTCTTGATTGTATTGATCTTATGTGTATGGCTTTTGTTGGTATTTGGACTAGTTTCGGTTAGGCAGCTTGTTTAGCTAGGCCTCCCAGTTACCCAGGAGTAGGGGATTCCCCTTTGTACATTGATGTTTTTATTTTAATGGAGATCTTATATCGTTGGAAAAAAAAAAATAACCATGTCAATGCAATAATTAATTAACATGTACAGTAATTCATGCAATACTAAATTAATCTATGCCAGTGCACTAATTAATTATCATGCATAATTTATTGATATAATTCTAAATTAATTCTATGCATTATATGATTAATTAACATGCACAATTATTCTTGCAATACTAAATTAATCCCATGGAAGAACATAATTAATAATCTTGCATAAATAATAATTAATAGCATAATGAATTTAAATAAATAAATAAATCCACTATTATGGCCATTAAATACTCCCTCTGTTTCGTTTTAAATGTCGTTGTAGGGTGTCAACATTTTTGCAAATTAATTGTCGTTGGAAATATTATATTCATTCTTACATCTTTATTCTCTTTAACAAACATTATCTCTTATCATTATCTTTAAAAACCACCCATTAATAAATCAAAAACTAAATTTAATAAGATTAAAAAATAAGATTATTACACAACCCATTAAAATCGTAATTTAGAAGTTTTAAATTAAAACGACATTTAATAAGAAACGGAGGGAGTATTGAGTTTCCTTTAAGCAAGAAAACTGTGATATTTCTTTCATTGTTCAACTGGAACCCCTTTAGCAGTAGAATTCTGGTTGATATTGTACTGCTTGGTCATCAAGGCAAAACCTCTCCACCCCTCAACAGCCGGCCGCCGCCGCCGGTGGTCGAAAAAACAATTATTTCTCATGCGCGCCGCCAGCCGGGTCGCCGTGAGCCGCCCTTCGCCGCCGGTTTCCGCTGCCTGGCCATCGGCGGTTGTCCTCGGGCTCGTGATCCGGTTGGTTCGTCAAGGTTCATTGGTCTCTTGTGTTATCCTCGTCATCAATCCACGATCACAACACGAAAAATATAATTTACAAAATTACATAATTCGATCCTAGATCCAACGAATGGATGTACATGTATTCTAAACAAATAATTAAATCTATCTGGTCAACCCCCGGGCGATTAATCATTACAAACATTCATCCATGAATTCCTCGGCATGTCCGAGGCTTTAAAAACAAATTTAAAACCATACATCACATTCAACAACATTCATCAAACACATAATCGCCCATAATAGTGGATTAACTATTTTTCTGCAAAACCGAGTTATGCAAATATAATCCAATATATGGCTGTGTTTGAAAACAACTTGTCAAATAAAGACATAAAAATTCGAACTTTGTACAAAACGAATTAACCAAGTGCTCTGATACCACTTGTTGGGATACGTGAGGATCTTGTTATGTACAAATCACGAGTTCAATAGCAAACGTAAACCTATGCGCATCGGATCCAAAGGTTTGACGTAGAGAACTACAGCTCGTGGATCGTCGACTGTTGTAGATGATCAATGGGTCTCGACAACCAATGGATCTTCTACTGTATTACTCAATACACTATTCTTCAACTTGTAACAGTGGAGCAACAAGAATAAGATAAAGCTCGAATGAGAACTGAGAGAGAGACGGGGCGGCGCGCGAGTCGTGTGTATGGGATTAACTCTCTCTTCTCATGAGCATAATGATGTATATATAGAGCTACAGTGGGGACCCTTAGCAGATTAGGAATAGGGCTTCTTAAGTACTTAGACTAACTGTGGGCCAAACCCACTCCTCTAATTAATTAAATAATATTAATGGGCCACCAACATTATATTATTGCACTCCCTTTTCCTAGCCAAAATTACATTTGAGACTCCAATAATAATTACTCGATTTATCTCCCCACATATATAATGTCCATTAATTAATTCGATTACTGACAATCAAGGATTAATTAATTTATTATTATTTCACCAAAGCTAGCGCTCGTTCATCACATTCTTATTATGCCGGAACTTAATCCACCTGCATGGTTTAGCATAACAATCCTTCATGAACTCACTCTGGGGACATCATCAAACTAACGCACATGGTGACCGTAAATATCCTAACAGCACATCCTATATATAATAATATTATCCAAAACAGTAGGAATATTAATCCAGTGAACTGAACCTCACCCAAGTGAATCAAAGTAATATATACTATATATATCTGCCTGTTTAATATCTTACGGGTTAATAGAACGCAGTAATTAACCGAGGCCTAGTTCATTTACGACGATCAGTATAAAATGAACTTCTCCTCTCTGGGATCCTGTTCAATACATAAGTGTACTAGTGCAACTAATCAGTCAAGACAAACTGTACAGTTGACACTACAACCGTTCGGATGGGGTGTTCATGTCCATCTAGGTTGTGAACAATTATTCTTGTTCGCAAGTAGCTGATAGAGTGATCTTCGGTTCGCCCGATGATGAACCACTCTATCTAAGTGCGGATCAACAGAACATAGAACTTGTTTAATCTAACATGATTCTCATTCATAAAGGGCAAATGAGTAATAACATGCAAAGTCAAGCTTTCAGTATATAACACTAACATCTTATTCATGTATCTACAAGATTTTCTACACTATCTCAAACACTCATCATTCTGAAGTGTTTCTTAGAAAGTATATTTATACAAGTCCCCAGAATCTTTGAGGAGTTTGCAAAAGTCGTTGTACTTAATATTTAAAAATCCGACAATTGATGAAATCGATATGAGAATCCATGACAGACCAGTCCTTAGTAGGTTTAAGAGTCTGATGATCGAGCAAAAAAGAAAGTTTTTCCAGCAAGATCGAATGACAACCAACCCATTCTTACATTTCGATTGGGTCCGCAGAGTATTGGGGGAGGCTAGTTATTCTGTGGTTCGGATCTGGTTAACCCATTAAGGGAGTTTCTTGATCCGTTATGTGGGGCCGTGGATCTCGTGGCTTACCTCGGTAGATCGCGTTGGGTGTTTGCTGGGTTGGAGTGGTGCTGAGTTTTTCCGTCCGGTGAGGAGGACTCTAGTATATGTATTGTATTAGATTGTTTTTGCTTAGGATGTTTTTATTTTGTCTGTGTGTTTTAGGCTTCTGTTGTGTTTTTTCTATTAAATTTGTTGTCTTATTTTTTCTCATGTTGCGATCTTTGATTCTCTACTTGTGGGAGTTCTGTTTTCTCCACTCGAGAGAATTTGTTTAAATTTTTTAGTGTTTGGTGTGTTCGTTCTTTTCTAGGGTGGTTCTAGGCTATACTTTGTGTAGTTTAATTTCAGCTGAGTGACTGCTTTATTCGGCTGGTTAGTTGTATTCTAGTTTGTATATATGTGTTTCTTCTAATGCATTCTATCGTTTC